CGGATTCCAGCCCGCTGCAGCACGGTTAATAGCTTGATAGCTTGAAGAGGGTATATGAAGTTCTTATACCCTCTTCATGTTATTAACCGTGCTGCAAGCTGACTGGAATTCGCATCATTGATATATTTAGATATGTAGAATTAAATTGATTATGTAAGAAGATAAATGAAGAAGTTTACATGATCATATTCAATTTGTTATTCAAAGATTGACGCATATAAATACTGTACTTAATGCTGTCATTATGAGATTTTTTCTAAATATATGAAACGTTGTTAAACAATTATTTTTTACTGGGATTATTATTTGATTATATAAAATCGAATAAAATAAAAAATAGTGTATAAATTTTTTTTGTAGGCTTACTTTATATGTATTGTGTATATTTAAAAGAAATTTTTTTCAAAAGAAAATGCATCTGTTTCAACGAAAATATTCTATTTTTATTCGAAGAATAATAAAAAGTTATACAATTTATACGAGAACGAAAAGGGATGCTCACGGTACATTTCGGAGGTTTTAGCTTTTGAGATGGAACTTCTATAAAATCGATAAATTTGTTTAAAATATGATGTAAAGTGATATTGGACCAATCATTCAATATTAAATTTCACTTTTTCATAAGCAGGGAAAGTTGGAAAAATCATGTTTGAAGTTTCTCAACTTCAGTCGATATTGGCTGACTTGGAATTTATTGATTTCAGAGGTTTCATCTCCTGGGCAGAAGCCTCCATGGACAACCTCATTTATAAAATCTAATATATTATAAAATAGCATTATATACAAACATAAGAATCTTTGTTATTACCTATTTTATGTTCTGTATTTCTTACATTTACGTTTATTTGTTACATTTTCTTCTATCACTACTTGTTAATGCAAAACCAGTAGCGTCGATAAACATATTAAGACTTACGTAATAATTTGATGTGCTATTTATCAATTTGATAAAACTAAGTCGTTTTAATTTGATATCTATAATTATTATTACTTATTGTCAATATAAAGAGCTACTTGATATTCGAAATGTTTCCTGAGGTTTTCATTATTGTAGATTCCAATACAGAATACATATTTCTTCTACGCTGAATATTCAACCAGAATCCATCCTCCGGCGTCAATGCTATTATATCTTTGCAGAATTTCTTTAGTGACGTAGTTTTCACAGATGGTTTCAGTTCACATCGCGCTAATAAGTGAAAAAGCAAGACTTTGATTTCCAACATGGCAAATCTGTGAGCTATACACATTCTCGGTCCTAATCCGAATGGCATATAACATGAGGAATTACGCATTTTGTTGTTTAAAAATCTTTCTGGATCAAATTTCTCCGGATTATCGTAATACTTTTCATCATGATGGATTGCAAGAACTGGAATCCAAACAAGCATACCCTTTTTCATGATAAAAGGTTTTTCGTCCGGCAATGCGGGTGGTAACTCAAAAGTTTTTTCGCATATCCTTTCTAAAGCGGCGACTGGTGGATACAATCTAAGAGCCTCACTTATCACCGCATCTAAATATTCGAGCCGATTAATAGCTTCGTAAGACACTTCTCCATTCGACTCTTCTAAAACCTTGTCAATCTCTTGTTGTAATTTTGTTTGAATTTCAGGATTAGCTGCAATTTCATGAGCTGCGTAGCACATTGTGGTTGAACTGGTCTCTAAACCACCGATGATAAAGATGAACGCTTGCGCAGTCATGTCGTCGATGTCTAGTTCTCTACGACCTTCTTTACCTCTGATATCCATCATCAACTGCAGCATATCTGAACGTGTAATATGTTTTGCGTCGCGAGTGGCTATTGTAGTCTTGACAATGTCCTTGAAGAAATCCGACACACAATCGTTTATAATTTTCAAATTGAGAATTCGCCCGAGTCTTGGAAATATTCCAAGACAAAAGAACTTTATACTACGAATGACCCCTCTGAAGTTAGTCGCCTCCTTGCCATAAATATAGAATTTGTTCATTGGATCCTTTATGGAGTTAACTTTGATTCCAAATGCACATGTAGCAATGACGTCGGTTGTATATTTACATATGTCTTTCATGTCTATACTGCTTTTATCCGCTGGTGATGTCGATAGAAATTTTGCAAAATCCACAGCACATTCAGACATCAACGTGAACATCATTTTCATCTTGCTGGAAGTAAAAGTGGGACTCAACAGATTCCTCACGTTTCGCCATTTTTCTCCGTGAAGAGAGAATAAATTTTTTTCAAATAAAGGATCGTTAAAGTCGGCGAAACCACGACGATCTGGAAATGCCTCAAAATTTTTAACAAGAACAGTTTTAATGAGTTCCAGATCGCGAAGAAAGAAGATTGGAGTTGTCATCATGTAGAATCCAAAATACTTTGCATTTGGAGTGAAATTATATTTGTTTAGTATGAAATCGAAGATTGATATTTGACGAAATATAACCGACAATATAGATCCGAATAATGGAACAGACGGTAAGTGTATAATACCATTTCTTTTGAAGAAATTAAAATTTTTAAAAAGATAATAAATGCTGATCACTCCGATTACTATCGATAATAATATCGACCAATATTCCATGGCACAAACGAATGTTACTTAAAAATTGTCCAAGAATTTTTTTGTAAACGTCTGATAAAATGTGATCGACTGTACATAGAGCACTAGCTGACACGAATCGCTGCATAGAACTGCTTGTTACAGCAGTTCCTACATCGCAATATATCAGCAATTGTTATGAAGTAAATGCTTTCAAGCTACATTATGGATGTGTTTGGGATGACGCTATCCGTGCTATTTATGTTATTCTGTTCTTGTTTTACGTTCAACGGAGGATAAAGATAGAATGACACGAATAGCGCAAGTAGCATTTCCCCGAACGCACTTTATGTAAGATCAATCAGTGTTGATACTTCGATCGATGTAAATCAATAAATCATTGTATTGTGTGCTGTTTGTACATATGTAATATACATACATATGTGTGTACGCGCGCGCGGGCACACGCACACGCACACGCACGCACGCACAC